TTATGATGAAAAGGATAAAAGGATTATGACTTTTTTGAGAAATTATTCAATAAGCCTTGACAATTAATTAGCAAATAAGTTATTGAAAATAGAATTAGTTGATATAATTATTAAAAGAAAGACAAATTATCTTGATTGAGCACAAAAACTTAGGAAAACCTTAAGTTATAAGACTAAATATCTTCTCGACACTGAATCAAATTTTCTAACTTATCGTCTCTTTCTTTTTCCTCTCTAACTTCTGCTAAAACTTCAATTCGTTCTTCTTCTATTCCTTCACTCATTATTTTGTTCCCTAATAAATTTTGAAATGAAGGAGAATTTCTATCACTTCTAAATAAAGTTCTAACAGCTTCTGTTAATGAAGCATTAGAACCTTTTCTAGAATGAACAAGTGGAATTTCCATACCAATACCGACAGACCCTGATAATTTATTGTAGTTCCCTATTAATTTTTCATACTTATCATTCTTTATTTTAAGGTCAGTTTTGAGATGTTTTATCTCATTTTCTAATTCTCTAATTTTTTCAGTTGCTTGAATATAGTAAGTAGAATTCTTTCCAAGGTTTTCCACATTTTTGAAAATACCAAATTGTTTTGTTAGTTGTTTTTCTAAACTTTCAATCACTTCATCTTTTCTTGCTAAATCAAATTCATTAATACTTTTCATCGTTTCAATACCAAGTTCAATGTCTGTATCTTTTTTTTTTAACTCATCTCTTACTAAAATAATTTGTTTTTTTAGATCTTCAACTTCTTCTTGTAGATCTTTATTTCGTTCATTCGAATCATTTATTATTGTGCCAAGGGTATAATTGCAAACAAGAATATTTTCTATTTCTTCTTTTTTTTCTTCTAATTCTTTCTCCTTTTCTACAAGATTATTAGTAAGTTCTTCAGACTTTTCAATAAAAAACTTGTTTTTCATTTCTAGTTGTTTTGAAAAAAAATCTGAATATCTATTTTCACTTCTCAAATGACTGTTATACAAACTCCTTCAAACTGCGACATCAAAAAAATATTTTCCTGATTTTTGATGAACTTTGTTTATATCCTCATAACTATTTATTTCTTGTTTTAAGTAAGATAAACCAATTCTCTCTCTTATTAAATCTCTTGTTTTATCTATTTCATCAGTAGTGAATTCCTCAGTATTAAATTTGTAAAGAATGATTCTTCTTAACTTTTTCGGTAGTTTCTCAAGACCGTTTTGTAAGAAAAAAAGTAATTGGTTTAGATTACAAGATATTTCTTCTAAATTAGTGAAGCCTTCAAAACTTAAATCTTCTTTAAAAAGTTTTGGGTCAACCGAATTGAAAGGAATAGAAGGAATAAGATTTCTTGTGTTACCAAAATTATCTCCATCTAGTGGATAATTTTTGTCTAATCATTCTTGAATGTTTTTCATATTTTTAGGAGATTTTACCCTTTTGCACCGCCTCTATGAATAATCCTTCGTTCTTCCATTTTAGCTTCTAATCTTTGTTTTTCTTCTCTAAGTTTTTTTTTTTCTAATCCCTCTTTAAGTAAATCAGCAGTCAAGTTAGAATAATATTCTTTTATAGCATTTTTTGTGAGTTCTTTACCATCATCTTCCAAAATTTTCAACTGATTTACAATTCGTTTTCGGTCAGTTAAAAATGTTATCAAATCTTCCTCTTTTACACTAGCTATATAACTAAAGAATTCTAATTGGAAATTTAATGCTGATATCTTTTCATCCTTTTCATCAATTATTTGATTACTTACGTGAGTTTTTTTGCTTAAGTTGCTAAGAATAGCACTATATTCTTTTATTATTATTTGATTATTGTTTTCAATCAACTTTCTTTCTTCTTTTGATTTAATAAACAATTCATTTAATTGATCTTTTAAAGACCTTTTCTCTTCCTCTAAATTAGTTAGTTCGCGTAACTTTCTTCCTTTTCCACTATCACCTAAAGATAACAAATATTTATTATGTTGTTCTTCTCGCTTTTTTAATTCTTTGTTTTCTTCTCTCAATCTATTAGCGGTTTCGAGCAATTGCTTGTTGTATTTAACTAGATGCTCAGCATCATTATCTTTTCTTTTTGAAATAGCAACTTTATCTTTGTTTAAATCATCTACTGTTTTTCTTAATTCATTAATCTTTCCTTGAGCATCAGCAAGTTCATTCTTAAATTTATTTAATTCTTCTCCTTTTTCTATTTTAATTCTTATAAGTTCTCTATTTAATTCCTTTGCTTTATTTAATTTTCCTTTACTTTCTTGCTCTCGTTTTTCGAATGATTCTTTATTTTCTTCTAACTTTTTATTTAAATTTTCGATACAATCATCTTTTTTATTATAACTAGTTAGGAAAGAACGTTCGGAAATTAATTTACAGTATTTTAAAGCATCAATCACTTTTTTTACTTTTTCTTCTTGCTCAACTTTGCTACGAAAGTCTGTTCTCATTTTTTTAACCTCCAAAGTTATTTCAAAGTTTTCAAAAACTCCACCAGTCATTGCATTGCTAAGTCGAATTATTTCTAAATATTCTTGGTGTTCATTTTCAGCTTGTTGATATTGATTAAAAATATCTTGGTAAAAATCAAGATTGCTCTCGATAGAAACATTAGAAGAATCAAGTTTTTCTACTATGGTGATTTTTTCCAAATAAAGTAAATTCCGAGAAAAAATAGTATTTGATAATTCAGTTTGAGAAATTTCTTGAAAAAGAGAAAGGAAAACAATGTTATTTACTTCTAAAGATTCTAGACGTATGAAATCACCAAGAGGAAATTCTTGGTCTATTTGAGTCAGTTTAAAATCAACCAACGATATTGATTTAACACTTCTAAGATTTTGATTTTGATATTTTTCCTTTAATCATTCTTTTATTGTGATATTTACCATGATAATAATAATTTTATTATTTTTTAAATAATACTAGTTATAAGAGAGCAACTAATCTCTCTTACTATTTTGGGGATGCGAGTTTTGATTTAGAGAGATAGATACGACCGCAATCTCTTAAAATAAGTTTTGAGGAAGGATTTTTTGTTAATCAGTTTAAATCATTTCATAATAAAAGGCTGATTATTATTGTCACATTTTTTGTTACATAAATTACTAAATGCAAATTTTTTCCTAAAAAATAAAGAAATGAAAACAAAAAAAAAGCTAGAAGAATTTTCGAATTTTTTATTTAAAAAGGATAGATCATTTAGGGAAGTGGGCAGAGTTTCAAATCTAGTTTCAAAAATTTCCAATATTTCCAATGAAACTTATGAAAAATCTTCTAGTGAAAATGATGAAAAGAATTTAGCAAAAGACCAAGAAAATAAAAGTAGAGAGAGAGAGAGAGAGAGAGAGAGAGAGAGAGCAAAATCGAGTAATTGATAGAGATTTCGATGAAAAAAATGCATCGTTGTGTAATGCCCAATCAGAATTAAATGAAATTAGAAAAGAAAATGATAAACTAAAAGACGCTATCGAGCAACTAAAAAGTTTTTTAAAGGTTTCAGAGGATAAAGTATTAATTTTAGAGAAAAAAGAAAGCCAACTCAATGTAACTTATGACCAAACTTTTGAAGAAGAAAATGATGAAATAGAGAATTTAAGAAGAAATGTTGAAATTCTAGAGGCTCGTCCCGAAACTGATTTAACGATAGAACAGATTGCAGTTCTGCAAGCTCGTCCTACACAGCAACAACTAGACCAGATTAATATAAGTATCGATACTTTAACTGAGGAAAGAAATAATTTAACGCAGGAAAAACAAGCTTTAATTATCGAAAGAGATGCTCGACCTACTACCCAAGCTCTAACTGATAAACAAGCAGAAGTTAATGCTTTAACTACAGCTAATCAAGCTTTAGTTGAGGAAAGAAATAATTTAACGCAGGAAAAACAAGCTTTAACTGAAGCATGGGCAGATTTATTTTTAATTACAGAAATTAATACCCGATCTATAATCGATAAATTTAATAGTGATTTAAAACTTGAAATAAAATTTGACTCAGGATATGAAATAACTGATGCATTAGAAAAAATTTTTAAAAAAGTAGAAAAATTACTAAAAAATCCTGATGACAGCGGTAATAAAAAATTAAGAGATGAATTGGAAGAAGCAAAAAAAACTCTTTCTGAATTACAAGGACAGTTGGCTAATAAGGAAGATTTAGAAAAAATTATAGAGATTGATTTAAAGAGTTTGAATGAATTCTTACCTAAAAGAATTGAAGATGAAAAAGAAAAAGAATTGAGAAAATCTAATTCTTATCAACAACTATCAGTAAATCGACAAAAATTAATTAAAGAAAATATGGAGCAAATTTTTCAAGAATATTCGAAAACAAATAATCGATTAGTTAATCAAAGAATAGTATTGTCTTTTTCTTTAACAATAAGTTTATTGCTTGTTGGTTCACTAATTTATAAAATTAGAAAAAGGAGTAAAAAAGAATGACCTCAGGTTTAAGATTTAGAGGGAATTTCCACTTTTAACTGATAGTATTGTTCATTTTCCTTTTTTAGTTCTCTAATTTTTTCACTAGTTCGGAGTTGAAAACCATTTTCAGGATTAAGTAAAGCATCTATTATTTTTGATTTTCTATTTTTAGTTCATCAAAAATCACCTGATTTTAAAGAAAAGGCTTGTTTTAATTTAGTTTGACAACTTTCTTGAGCATTTTTGATTTAAATAAGAATTAGATTCTTTTCATCCGTTAATTTTTTTTTCATGATGATTCAAAATATTTTTAATAGGTGTTCCTTTGAAATAAAAGTAGTTCTCTAATTCTAATTGTTCCAATAATAGTAAATATTCTAAACCGCTGTTTATCTTGGTATTTTCGATATTTAACACTTTTAATTTAGTGAGATTCTTAAATGCTATTAAGGAATCAAAGAATTGATTGACTCCCTCATCATCTTCTACTCAATGATTCTCATTACCGATTTTTAAATTAGTCAATTTAACTAGTTGACTAAAAACTGAGATATTAGTTTTTTCCAAATTATTATTAAGTTTGCCCAAATGGCGGAATGGTAGACGCAAATGACTCAAGATCATTCGAGCATACGCTCATATCGGTTCGAGTCCGATTTTGGGTACCAAAAAAATTAACATTTAAACTACGAACCAACTTTCTTCCCTTACAATTTGTTCTTGCCATACCATTGATCCGATAATTTTCCCATTCTCGTATGAATGAAAGATAGACATTTGTTAGTAAAAATTGCTAATCAACCTTTATTGGCTTAACTAACGCCGAAAAAAAAATCCAAAAAACAGTAGTATTTCTAGTAATTATTTTAAAATTCCTATTTTTACCTTTTGCCAAGTAATAATTTCTTCATTGATAATTTCAATTGTCGTATTTTCCTTACTAATTTTTTACTTAAATAAGAGAAGTTAAAATTTATTATTTTTGAGACTTTTTTTTGTTATTTTTTTGTCAATGAATAAATAATTCATAGTATTCGAAGGGCACCAAATTTTGTGGACGGATTTTAGTTAAATAATTTTTTTCATGAAAATATTTGTTTCATTCTATTTCATTATTCCCAGCAAAAGCCAAAAGATTATTCCGAAGGGTTTTGCGACGAGAGTGAAAGCAGTTTTTCAAAAATTTCAAGAAAGAGACTAGTTGTTCTTTTTTTATATTATTATTTTTCCAAGGATTAATCGCTACTAGCGCCCCATCAACTTCAGGAATAGGGTTAAAAAGATTTTGCGGCACTTCAAAAACTAAGTTAGTCTCTGCTAAGTAATTAATAAATGCTGATAAGGCTGAATATTTAGAAGAGTATTTATTAGGATTAGATACCCATTTTTGTCCTACTTCTTTTTGAACTAAAAAAATTAAGGATTTGAATAAGTGATAATTGATTAATAAATTAACTATTAGCGAATTAGTTAAATAGTAAGGTAAATTACCAACTATTATCAAGGGATTTTTTTGGTATTTTGAACAAAACTCTTCTCAATTAATTGTTAATGCATCTTGACGAAGATAACTGATTTTGTCGTTGTGATTATTTTCTTCTAATCATTGAAATAGTTTCTCATCTTTTTCTAAACTGATAACTTTTTGACAATTAGTTTCAGCCAATAAATTGGTTAAATTTCCGTATCCGCTACCAATTTCAATTATTATTGTATCGTTCTCAACCGAGCAATGTTTAACTATTTGACCGAGATAATTTTTGTCAAAAAGGAAATTTTGTCCTAATTCTTTATTCGGTTGAAAAATTAATTTTTCTTGAGAAGTTTTTTTCATTTTTTGAAAGAAATGAGTTTGGGAATGATTATTTTGCAGTTTTTTCTTTTTTGTATGTTTTTCTGTATAAAAACTTTAATTTATGTCGCTTATTTTCTCACAAGTTAAATAATTGAGTGAACCGCTTTTTATTAAAATTTTCAGGGTGAACAACAATTCATTATGAACTATTAATAATTCTTTATTCTCTTGATAAGTTTCTATGCTTATACTCAATTTGAAAGAACTTCTAATATCTTGTAAGAAGAGAGAAAAAGTTTTTTCATCTTTTTTTTCCAACTGGCAAATAACTGCATAGATTTTTATTTCTTTTTCTTGATTATTATACTCTTCAATTTTTCGGAAAATTTCCGAAAGCGAGATTATTTCATGATCGGTTTTTTGTTTCAAATCTTTTCAGCGCGAGAAATAACTGACATATATATTCAAGGTTTCGTATTCTTTTTGATTGATCAATAATTTATTACTTTCGATTTTTCCGATTGGTAGTTCTAAAAACGGCAAATCTTTACTATTAACGAGAATTTTTTTCCTTATTTTTAGGTAACGAAAAAAATTCTCTTGATTACTTAATAAACTATCAATATCTACTTGTAAACTGTTGAATAGACCACTTTTTATTCACTCAGTAAAAGTGTTAATTTCTACCTTTTCTCACATTTGGATAGTCCGATTAAGAAAGTCTTCCCAATTTTTGTAAATTCCCCTCTTTTCTCTCTCCTCAATTATGCCTTGAAAAAATTCTGCATTATATTCTTTCAAACTAGTGAAACCCATCAATAAAAAATTATCTTTTTTGATTCAGTTTATTTGTGAATAATTAATATTAGGCACTTTTGTTTGAAAACCGTAAAAAAAAGCTTCTTGGAGATAAGACAAATTTTTTTCTTTTCCTTTGTTAAGAAAATAAATAATTAATTGGGGGAAAAAATTTGCTTTTAAGTAAGAGATATAATAAGTAAGATAACCATAAGCAACCGCATGAGCTTTGTTAAAAGTGTAACCAATGGCCGAGGTGATTTGGCTATAGATTATTTTGCTTTCGTAAGGAGACAATTTTTCTCCAGCTTTGCCAAGAAACTCTTTCTCTAATCCTTTTTCGGTGAGTTGTCGTCTTTTAACTTCGGCTTCTGCAAAACTACATTCGTAAACAAAAGCAAAAATTTGGCTTACTTGTTCTTCAAATATAATTGAGTCATATGTTTCTGTTAATATTTCTTTAATTACCAAAGAATTGAAGACTGATTTGCTCTTAGTAATTCTTTTTTCAATTATTTCCTCGGCTTTTTTTTTCGTACCGGGACGATTTAGTGCGAGAAAGAGTATTAATTCAGAAAAATTCTGGGGACGAAACTTATTAAACAAAATCCTTGCGGAAGGAGTGTCTAGTTGAAAGATTCCAGTCAGTAAAAAATTATTCAATAATTCTCAAGTTTTTTCGTCTTCTAATTTTACTTCTTGGTAGTCGGGCAAATTTTTTTCAAGAGAATTTCTCACTTCGCGAATAAAACTTAATGTTTCTTTTAAACTTAAAAAGTCGTATTTTTTCAATCCGAGTTGTCTAAAATTATCTTCTTCAAATAGTGTGAGCAAATGATTTTTTTCGTTTCTTAGAGGCACTAAACCATTTAGGGTTTGTTCGGCAATGACAATTCCGGCTGGGTGGACACTTGTATCATAATATAAATCTTGAATCTTTTCTGCTAAGGCAAAAAAATCAGGATGACGGAGTTTCGAATTTTGTAGTTTTAAGTTACTGATGTTATTTTCTTTCCCTCCGAGTGTAGCAAACTCTTTCAATTTTGCCTCTCCGATTCGATAAATTTTAGCAACTTCTTTACAGGCGGTTTTTCAACCAATTTTTTTTTTGGTGATGATACGAGCTACTTGATTTTTTGGGTATTTTTGCTGTAAATAATTAAATATTTCTTCTTGATCTTCAACATCCAAATCGATATCAGGAAGAGTTTTTCTTTTCTCATTCAAAAATCTTTCAAAAAGCAACTTGTGTTGCAAAGGATCAATACTAGTTATTCCGAGTAAATAAGTTACTAGTGAAGAAACCGAACTTCCACGACCTGGTCCGACTACAATTTTTTTTGTTTTCAAGTGATTTACTGCGTCACTGAATATCAGAAGGTAGTCAGTATAATTGAATTTTTCAATAATATTTAATTCTTTTTCTAGGGTTTTTTGGTAATTTTCCTCTTTTTCTTTTCTTAAAGTTAATAACTTTTGCCAGCATTTGCTTTTCAAAAGTAGCAAATTATTTTCTTTTTTATTCTTAACTGATTTTTCACCACGAAAAGTTGGATTGAGACTAATTTTAGTGAGAAAACTTTGCCACTGAATAAGCATTAATTGATAGAAAGCTTTGTCATCAGCACAATAGGAAAAATAATCTTCAGTATTCAAGTAGGGAAGATAATTTCCTTGGGTATCAGGAAAAAAAAAATAACGATTAAAAGTAGTTTTTTTTCAGGCCTCTAGTAAATTTATTTCTTCACTAGTTAAAGTTTTGATTGAAAAAAAAGGAAGTAATAAAGGAATAACGGGAGTGGAAATAGATGATATTGGTGAAAGAATAAAAAAATTAAAACCAATAAAAAGATTAGTATAATTAATTTCTTTCTTAGGTAAATTAGTGAGAATTCATTGTTTAGCAAAATAATTTATTTCTTCTAATTTTTGTGCTTCAAAAACAATTAAAAAATTTTTACTTAAGGAAGAAAGAAGATAATCAAGAGAAAAAACTCGATCTTCAGGGGATTCTGGAGAAAATAATTTTTGGATAGTTTCTTTATAACCTTTATTATTTTGGGGATAAACAGTGGCTAAATACTTTTTTCCTTCAGAAGTTTCACGAAAAAAAATTTTTATTCCTCAAATTGGCTTGATTTCTTTTTCTTTGCACTGGTTAAAGAATTCAATAATTTCGTAAGGATGGTAGTCAGCGACAACTAATTGTTTCAATTTATTTTCTCTGGCTCAGTTAACTAACTCCGAGATTTTCAAAAATGAGAAACTGAGATTAGAATTAGTTTGAGTGTTAAGGTGAGGAAGAAGGAAATTTTCCATAACTTAAAATATTTTAAGTAATTTTAATAATTATAAAAATTGTTTCTAAAATATCTTATGTCAAAAGAAAACGACGATAACCAATCAAAGGAAGAAAATTCTCCTTCAGTTAAAGAAAGGATTATTTTAATTTCAATTCTTCTAATTTTTGTTTTTATGATTTGATTTTTGGTGGAGGGAAAGAGAAAATTTTTAAGAGTGAAACGAAGAAAGAAAAATTAATTATTTTTTTTTAATTGTCAAAAATTTTCTCTGAGTACATAAAAAATTACATATTAATGGCATGTTTTATTATTTCTGAAAAAAAAATACTTTAAAGAAATTTGCTTCTTTACGGAATAAGATTCTCAATTTAGAGAAGAAAACTAAGACATTGACCGATGAACAATTGCAAAGCAAGTTTAGTTTTTTCCGGCAAAAAATTCAGAGCGGCAAGAAAAAGAACCGCGAAAAACTTCTCGAGAAGTTTTTAATTCCGGTTTTTTCTCTAGTACGTGAGGTTATTCGTCGCCAAACCGGTTTGTTGCTTTTTCCTACTCAAATATTTGGTGGCATAGTACTACATCATGCCAATATTGCTCAAATGAATACTGGAGAAGGAAAAACTTTAACAGCATTTCTGCCAATTTGTCTAAATGCCTTATCCGGAAGAAGCGTTTTTGTTATTACAGTTAATGAATATTTAGCTCAAAGAGACTGGAATTTAGCTAAGTCTATTCTGGATTTTTTTCAAATTAGTTCGGGAGTTAATTT